GCAAAGTTAAAATTGTAAATCCCGTTGCATAGTTTCCTCGATTACGAAGAAGAAATAATATCAGAACAAGATACTTTTGCTACATTCCAATTAACATGAAATTATATTAAGAAACATAATAAAGCAGTATGCGACTTTAAATAAAAAAGGATTAATTTCTTATAAAATGTGATTGTCGCGAGCTCTAATAACGCGCGCACGCAAGTTGCTCAGTAAATTTATTAAAATTAAATATCTTGCATGCGATTGTACTTTTATTCATATCTTTTTTTTCAGTTTTCATTGCATAAAGAATCTACGGCACTCGGAAAGCCATTTAATAACAGAGAGAAGGTATTGCAATTTTTAGTCCAAATTCTTGAACTTAACCAATTTTTAAGGAGTTAAAGAAATGAAATTCTGCAGAAAAGTTGCGTTTGACCCAAGTTAATACAACAAGATCGAAAAACCCAATATAGGATAGGATTTAATTTTGTGCTATGAGCAGCCACAGCGAAACCAACGGAAGTCAGGGCTAATAGAGTACAAACTTTTATATTTGCCGATCGCAGTAACGAATTAACGACACTACGGTGCGTCCATATAGCTCGAGAAATATCATCGAACGATGAATATTCATGTCGATGAGTCGCAAGACCGTGGATGGAGGAGGCCGGAAGCCGGTAGCTATGTTATGAAGTTGCTCCGTGGAGGATCGACCGCCATATTTTGTATGATATATTCCAGGCGGCGTCACCCTTCCCTCCACGGTTTTACAGGCTAGACGCCAAACCCTTCCACAGCTGGACAGGTTGCTGCTTCTTCGCGATTTCATTCAATTATTCCCGGCCATTCAATTAGCTGAATTTTGAACGACGGTCTAGCGCGGCTAATGCGGCCGTTGCATCGAGTCATCGCACAAATTATTCACTATTGGACTAGTCAGCCGGTTATGCCCGCCGGCATTCCGCAATTGCGTGATACAGGGTGCGCGTTATCGTGACGCAGCGCGCTAATTGCACCGGGAAATGTTTATCGGCCGAGAAGTCCGCGGATCGTCTCCGTTCTCCTTGTCCCTTCCGCTGTAACACTCGAGATTTTATGGGCTAATGCCGGACGATACGTCGTAGATCGTGATTTCACATTGGAATATGTTTTGCGCGTGCGGGCGAAGCTACGCGACCGGATCCCAGATTTCGCGGGCGGTAATGTAGCGGTCCGCGGGCCCGGGAAATAAATGACACTATTTGCAGTTAATTAGATTCAGTCAGCGTTCGTTCCGTTCTCGATGCAATCACTTTGCCTAATATTGCTATTCGTTTTAGATTAATCTCTATGATTTTGCTAGTCTACTCTCTGTAATTGTTTTAGAACAAGCTGCACCGGAAACCGTTCTTTAAGCCAGCGATTACCGTTTTAATAAACGTTCCAAGTGATGTTTAAATATTAGTCATAAGTAAACCGCGGATCCTTGTGCAAAATAAAAATTGTCTGGATTAATTGCAAGATACACAAGCAACTTGGACGTTCCTTCTAAATAAACTAAATGTTTTTACTGATTCGTATTTGATCTACTCATTTTTGTCGTAAATGCATAAAATCTGCAGTTCACTCATAACTATTTTTTACTTATGTTTAATTAATAGTTTAGAACATTCTTCCATTGTTCGTTACTAGGCTGCGGATCATTCGGACATTCAGACACTAGCACCAAATTTTTTAATTAAATATTATAAAAATATTTAACTCTTGACGATCCAATGCCGCCATATGCGCGACAGAGATCAATGAAACCATAAAATCCGGCAGAAAACTTTGAAAGAATGGACACGATGATTTTGATGAAAATATATCAATGAATTTTTATGAAATGGATATTGCTTTTCTATATTCGATGTAACAATCTTTGGTACATAATTTCTCTTCGTATGAAAAATAGCTTGGACTTGGCGATTATGTAAACTTGAAATATTGCTGGTCCGCCAACGATTAAAACATCGCATTACAGTCCGATAATACACCGCAACACGATTTCAAATCTCAGCTTCGTCTACCCTTCGATTGAAACCTTGTCGCGAACGAATGGCCGTCCATTTCCTGGAATATCGAGCAGCGTGCCATATTTCAGTCGTGTCGGTTCTCCGGGAATTTGAAACTAGAATCCAGCATCGCCGTTAAGCAGCGAACATAAAAGGGCAATTCAGGGGGGCCGAGGAACTGGTTGGCGCGAAGCCGCGAGGGGTTGGAGCCCGGGACAAAAGTAACGCAATACCGGAATATGTCACGAATTAAGCGGGGAGAAACCGGGAGTGCTCTCCGCCGGCGTCATCGTCGTCGTCGTCGTCTTGGTAGTCGTCGCTTTTATTAGAATTATCTTTGTCACTTTCCCAAGTTTATATTTACTCCTCTCGCGCGAACCTCTTAAAGGCACCACGCCACCCCCTCGTGGCATCCACCTTTCCTTGCTTCCTTCGGAACCAACCCGCAAACCTCTCTCCCAGATCCCCATGTTTTCTAGCTCTCTCTTTCTCTCCTGTAAAACCTCTCTCTATCACCCAGATCCATCCCCGTCGTCCGAGTCACCCTTCTCGTCGAAGGAGCAGAACTAAGAGAGGGGGAGAAAGAGAGAGATAGAGAGAGAAAGATAGGGGAGAGAGAGAGGGGGGAGAGAGAGGAACGCGGAACGAAGCAGCCACTCGCTTATTATCTTTACGACTGGGAAGATGGAATTAAACTGAGTGTGCAGCCGAAATGTAATAATATTCATTACTATGCTAATGTCCGCGCGGCCCGCCACCGCCGCTCCGCTCCTCTCCGCTCCGCGCCGCGCCGCGCCGCTCCAGCTTACGGCCGCCGGAAACTTGCCTCGTATTTTTGTTATCTGCCGGCGAACAGAGAAGGCCTAACTTCGTTCATGATCCCCGATCGACGACGATAACTGACCGAACTCGGCTTAGGGGATCATCGCCTGCTCCCCGGCGTGCAACTTTTCCGAGCCGTGCCCTCGCACGAATTTTCCGGACCGCTGGAACCACTCCAGGACACGTTCACCTATCACTCTAACCCTTGCGAATTCCTTTCCGTCTGCTTCCTACGAACATTCAGTTTTTATATCGTATAAAGCTGCCGTTGAAATCGGCCGATTTAATGCTGTTGTCTGCACAATATGAAAGTTGTAGAAATATCTTTCGCTATTCTCTTGAATATTTTACTTGTTTTTGACAGTATATGTAATATTGATTGTATGGACGGATCAGAAACAAGACAGTTTAAGTCCATCTTTTTCTTGAAAGTTTTTTTCAGTCATTTCTTTCCAAAATATTTTTAAAGTTACGCAGTACAAACAAATGTTTATCGTAGGATGTTTCAGTCGATGAATCAATATAGTCGATTTCTTCATAAATAAATAATAAGTGGCAGCACTTGTGCATTGATCACGAAAAAATTAAATAAAATTGTTCAGAGTTTTTCTTAAAACAACATTGACATTTTTTCTTTTATTTCTTTTCTGGTTAAGTTCATTTCTGTCATCTTATAATAAAGATTATGCTTCGTATTACTAGTGACATTGTTATTCTTGTACAGCTATTTACGTACAAGTACTCTTATTGTGAAATTAGTAGTTGCGAAGCATTATTATTGTATTATTCATCAGTTATTCATCTGTACTATTAGCGCATATTCATCCGCAATTCAGTTGCGGCAGTAGTATGTTGAAAAATGTTCGTAGAAATACATTAAATATATATGTATACTAAAATAGCATTAATAGAATAATTAAAATAAATAAAAAGTTGTACCTATTCCAACAAGTTCTTTGTCTCCGTGTGCACTAATAAACTTGTACTAATGAACTTCTTAAAAGAAAATAGATCTAAATCCAAAAACATGTTCTCTACAATAATAATCTAAAAACATAATGGCTTCGTTCTCAGAAATTTCAAGGCTATAAAGGGTCTACAATTTTGATGCTGACTCCTTCCTTACTTGCAGAATAATTGCATGCTTGTATGTGCATGATGCAATCAGCAATCAGTGCAGCAGCAGTTTTCGACGAGCGTCTTCTGGTCGAACATGTCGACGTGTCCCATTAAAAGGAACTTCATTAAATCCGTCGCGAAACGACGACCCCCGCGATATCGATAGGATGCTTAACACCCCTGTTGTGTCGCCAGAGGTGAAACAGGCGGTGGAAACGCATGCACACACGTACACACCGATAGGATATATCTAAGTAGCATGCCAGAGTTATATTAGACAGGAGCGAAGAGCTCCGGTGGCAACTGCCGTCTTTCACTTCGCACTGAAAACCCGTGCGCCAAGAATCTTGCTAATTAGATATATAAGGAAGCTAATTGTAATAAGGTGGAGTCGGGTGTACACGGGGAAGTCCCTCTCCCGCGTTAGTATTCTACGGCACACGCACAAACGAGTATACGCAAGCTTTCCTGGCGTTTGCTTGCGTCTAATACCCACTTCGGAGATGAGAGTGTTCATTTTGGTCCATTTATTAAATTTATAACAATCTTCGTTCGGTTGGTTACCCAACTGAATCATCGATTCGATAAATAAGAAGTCTCCCGGCTGTACGAAAATTATGCGAAAATGACGAAATTATCTGTAATGTGTAACGAAGAAAGAAACCTTAGACTGCAATTAGTAATAACTGATGTTTCTCGACTTAAACGGGCTTTATGACGCAGAAGCTCTTGATGTTATTGTCCTAGGAATCACTCAAAGTTGGAAGACTTAGGTATGTGTGTAGGCACCGCAGTTATATAATACTATAGAGAGTTCAAGAGTTATCTTCTCCGTTATATTAGGCCACTGTATTAAAATTGGTACGATCATTATACACTAATGAATATGCACTTTGTATTTACGTTTGCGTTTGCTACAATAATGTGCTCCCTCACCATCAAGAAATCTGATAGATTCCACCATATTTTTCACACAGTCAGGAAAGCACAGCCATAAAATATAAACAACTTCAGTTATCTAATGACAAGAATCAAGACATCTTTTCTAAGTTCACAAGTATTTAATCAACTTATGAGCAGAAATGGCGTGCTATTAAGTGTTAACTAGTTACCAAAGTAGACAGAACGTTCCTAGTTTTTAATAAAAAATGAAATGCTTGCCGTTAAAGTACTCGCATGTTTTTTCTGTAATCTCGTATTATTTGTATCAAATTTATTTTTCAAACATTTTTGGCGTTTGTAGATGATCGGAGGTCGTCGGTATAGCTGTCGAAACGATGATTGAAAACGATTCGGTTCCCCAAGATGCAGGTCACGCTGGATACTACACCGACGATCGTCGACGATTCCACGAAAGTTTACGACAAAGTAGCAAAGGGTTGGGTGGTGGTGTGGGTGGTTCGCGCTAAGGGGGAGAGGGAGGGGGAGGGGTAAAACGTGTTGTAGTTATAACGAGGAGCCGAGTAATTTAACCCTTCTTAGAGTCGTCTTGTCTTCACGGCTCCCTCCTCCGTCGGGCCCCACCGTGTCGTCTTATCACCTCCCTTCTTACGCTGTAATCTCCGACCCCATCGTTCAGCGTTGGTTTATTTAGACCCGGCAGAGGTGATCGCTTGATTAAATACTTCTTCCGTCGGCTTTACTTTCGTCGTACATGACGCCCGCGGAGAAATATCCGACGTTATAAAGTTCCGGTGTAAAACGCGAACAGGGACCTCCTTAATTAACGACCAAACTTCGGCGGAATTTATTTTTTCTGACGCGAAAATCGTGCTCTCGTCGATCCCGAGTGCCACAATTGCTCGACGAATGATTCTCCATCCCCAAGAGCGGATCATGCAATTATTACTAGAAAGAAACCAGTCACTAGGTCGTGTTCGTTAAGCTTCAGGCAACTTACATTTCTTCGCATCTCTACGTTGCACTTTTGCGTTTCTTGCGAAGAAGTTTAAACGATTGACTGAACTGACACTTGTCCGTTAAATCAGAAACTATAATAAATGCTTCGGAATTTTGTCAAATTCTTCTGAAGATAATCAAAGCCTTTATTTTTTTCAAACCCTTCGTTATAATGTGGATCTTTCTGCAAAATAAAAATGTTTCACTTTAGCAACTGAAAGAAACAGGAATCCAATGACAATTGATTTCCAATTGCAAACAAATTTTAACAAATTTTACATGAGACAAACCAGAATGATTCTTGATGGGTTCAAGGTAGAGTATCTTGGTCCCACGTTATCGAAAATAAAATTCGGTGCAGTTATTGGACGGGTTTTACGAGCGCATCTTGAACGAGGAGACACACGGCCCTTCGACTCCTGGTCTGCTGATTTAATTCGGAATAATATGTTATGCTTCTACAGAGGGATCAACGGGAAGAGGGTCCTGTGCTCGCGGTGCGTAATTAGGCGCCTTTGAAAAAAATATTTCGAGGTCGTACTTTTCCGGGATTACGCTAAGCAGATTCTATGTTTCGCGTATCCCGGAGTGAATTATGCAACGGATGGCGATATGTCCGCGTTTCTTTTATTTTCAAACTTGATGATTCATGAAGACCCGCTCCACGAAATTTTTGTCAGATTCGCACTTGAATAGCGCACGGCTACTTAATATTTCGTACCCTGCGACCGTGCGCTCCTGTTTCGACCCGCCGCACAGCGCGGTCGTTAATGGACAAAATTCAAAGAAGTCACTGCTTCGTATCTATTCAAAACTATCTGTATGAATGTTCAACAAATTGAGCAGATGATTAATTTCGAGGGAGCTCGCCGAGCGAATATTAGGAGGATCAAATAGCACGTTAGTTCACATTGCAGCTTGTTTACATTGCCATATGAACAGAAGGCCATTTGACGATATAATTTAAATAGAAAATGATGACCAGGGGTTATACGACTGTAATTAATTTATAGCAATTTTATAATGCTTATATGCATTGTAATTTCGATTTATTTTCGCACATTTTAAATAAGGTTTTAAAAGAACGCCTCAAAATATCCTGGGATTCTTCTTCCGACATGTTCGTCAGATTTTGTTAGTATATAACATTTTATGCGGAAAGCTGCGGTCTTCACACAGAGTCAATGATGTTTATTATCTAACCTAACCGTGATCTAACTCCGACCTAACATATTAAATCGATCACCCCTGCATATATAACAAAATATAACTTCAGATAAAAATAGAAGAAACATCGCCATCGTTTCCGAATTCCATACTTTATCGCGTATACATGACGAAAAATTTGGTTCACTTTGCTTAAAAATTGATCAGTCGAACGGTAACTAGCTCGATGTTAAAACACAATGGCCGAAGAAAGCGCGGAGAGGGAGGGCTTTCGGTGAATTTCGCGAGCAGAAAAAGCTCGGCGAAATCAGTAGAAAATTTCCGGTAGAAGAAGAAAGAATCGCGGCAGCGTAAAAGGGTTGCCGCTCGGAGGGGAGAAGGACACAGGTGAACGTACTTATTATTATTTAGGCGCGCAGTATGTCCCCGCCGAGCCTGGAATTACATATTCCTCGCAACGACCGCGCGGAGACGTGCGCGCGGCTCGGACTTTTTATTCCGTCGCTGCCTTTGCCGGCCGCGGTGTCAAAGCGGCCAGTTCTCCTCAAAGTGTAATTATTTTAGCTACAATTAAAAATGTGCAGACCCGCAGGCAACGCGTACACGTTCGGTCTCTCGGCTTCGTCCGCATCGATCCTCCTCGTTCTAGGGTCAGAGAGGAGTCTTTCGCGTGCTCGCGGAATACGCGAATAATTATTCTTTCTCCCCGGCAGAAGGAACGTTTTTCCCCGGGTACCGGAGAGAGAGAAACGCGGCCGTACGTTGCCGCGTGTATCGCGAAATTAGAAACCCGCCATGTTTTTTACGGCTTAATTGGTTGCCGTTCCTTTCTTCTTCGAGTCCATTTCGTCCGGGCTTCACCGGAGAAAAAGGATGTGCCTTGCGTTTCGTCGTTTTGGGAGAACGTTGAAACCGAATAATTTGTTCGTTTGAGGCTCGAGATAATGATCGGACAAGTCTCACGCGGCCGCGCCAGCCCCTGGATACTCTTGCCCGGAAACATCTGTTTCCCTTCTGTCCACCGACACGAGGCCTCCACGTTTCGTTTGTGCATGCGAATCACAAACCGACCGACGCGACGCGACGGTCATTGATCTCGACGAATACTTTTGTTTCCGTAGACAGTAGAATTCTAGTTATTGTCCAAATTATGCATTAATATACTAATGTTCGCATATAATAGAACAGTTACTTAGATAATAACACGTGCATTTCTAATTTTTATGCAAAATGAACGTATCGATTACCAGATGCACAGCCATTCATTTTGTCTCCTAATAATTTCAATGAGATGGTAATAACGAAACAGTGTTTTTAAATTCTTTAGATGTTTTTAATGTTTTTAATGCTATTTCTAAATGCGTCGTAAATGCGTGTACAGTAAATTCTCCCTAATTCACGCTCAGATTCTACAAAAAAATGCACAATTTGGAAAGAGGAGATACGATTATTCGAGACTTGCGGCTCGTTTTTATAGTTACCGATTATCAATAACTATAAAAACGAGCCGCAGGGCTTGAATCGTCCTCTCCCCAAATTGTCCACATTTGCGTACAATCTGAGCGTCAATCAGGGAGAATTTACTGTACATAGCATCAAAATGCATTATCAAATGTTCCAAACCTAATTCTGAACCCTAAGCCTGAAACGGCATCCTATTCTCTCAGACCATGAAATGTCAACCTTAAATATTAATATGAATTCGGTAAACAATAACTGAAGTACTTACAGATGAACAGTTTAAGTCTACATAGTCTAAACGCTTGCAGAAGTTAAAGGGGCGTTATATTTGTAATCATCACAGACTGTAGCGGAGAAGATCAGTGTGCACAAAATTTTGATAGGTTCGTGAGACAGCTTAAGGCAACATCGCAGGGCTAAATCGAGGATTAGCTGCCCCGTTCGTTCCGGAAAGCGTCCGAAAAGCTACGTTCTGGGTCGGAGCATAGGAAGGTGTGCCTCTCGAAATCTGAAGGCGCGGATCGACGGCGGAACGCCACGGAAAAAGATACTACCGGCACGTAATTACTTTTAACGAGGGCCCCGGCCGCAGAAAAATATGGCCCGGTAACAAAAACTTTTCCAATTTTAATCCGTCATTCGTAGCGGGGGCTAGAGCGAGAAAGCGCGCGAGAGAGAAAGAGAGAGGGATAGAAAAAAACAACACCGGCAACTTTCGTCCCGTAACAAGTTGTTGCTCGGGGGAGAGCAAATAAAGGGAGCGGGTGCCCTTCTGTATCTCTCTCTCTCCCTCCCTCTCTCTCTCTCTCTCTCTCTCTCTCTCTCTCTCCGCCTCTGTTTCTCTTGAAGAGAAGGGCCAGCTCGAAGAAAGATCGAGAAGCGCGCCATAAATAAAGGAATTAGTTTTTAATGGACGTTAGTCACTATTAATTGTGGAAAGTTAACCCCTTCCTGGGCTGCGCCCGGTACACCGTGTCCCTTTTTCTCCGCCCCTATCCGTTCCGTCTTCCCTTTTTCCTTTTCTCGCGAGACCTGCCGCTTGTCCTTTGAGACTGACGAGTCGGGTGGCAAAGGAGCCAAGCGACAAGGGGGCGGCGGTGGACCGGCAGAAGCGGTTGCGAAAGGGCTGAAAACACGGCACGGCCTTTATTTTACATTTCCACGAGCCATTCTTTCTTTGTGCGATAATTAAGTAAGCTGAAGCCAACCGGTAGCCAGTCGTTCATTCAAATTCCCCTACAACGCTGCGCCCGGAGATTAGGAAATCAGGATTGGCTCCACCTTGTTCCGAAGCTGTATTCACAATATATTATTTCGTGGTCAACAGAAATGCTTTGGACGTAAAAGAATGTTTCACGATAATCGTTACCTTTTATATTTAATAATTTAGTAAGCAGTGCATGGTTTGGTTCAGTTAATCCTATTATGGTTGCTAGATCGATCGCTAGAGATTTGTTTTTAGGAAAGGATTTGTTAAAAATATTTCTTTGTGTACTTTATTCGCGGTATCTTTTGCAAATATATTTCTTGATAAACGAGACAGCTTTATCACTTTTCCTACTGGAAAAATATTACATGAACAGTTAAAAATTTGTTAAAAATATTTCTTTCTGTACTTCTCTATTCACAGTATTTTTTACAATTATATTTCTTGATATTAACAAGAAATTTGATATTCCTATTCTTACTAAAAAAACATTAAATAAATAGTCCACAGTTTGGTTATATATTTTGTTGCGCAGCTGAGAGTTCATTTATATATAGACTCGATTATAAAAGTTACTTAGGAAATTATTTGATGAAATGAATATTTATATTAAATACATTGAATGTTGAATTACTTTTGCAAGTTTTTAATTCGCAATTCTAAGGGCTGCTTGTACTCATTTAACGAAGAATTTAACGAATCATTAAACGAACAAAATATGTGTTTCCAAAACATTTACCTGAAACAGTCGCAATACATGTTCACTCATCTCCACTCGCTCGCATGACAGAAAATACAAGTGAAATTGTTACAACTGGTAATGACTTAACCTTTTTCTTTCGAAGAACAGTTGGCAACACGATTGGTTAAAATTATTATAAGTGAACCAAAATTCTTTAAATCAATTTGAAGAAACAATGATTCGCGACGCTCACTTGTTTCAAGAATTTTCTTGTGTTCAAAATAAAATAATCTCCAATCTCTCCCGATATAAATCTCTTTCTTCCAATATTTCGAGCTTTGATCTACGATTTAATTTTCGGAGAAAAATGTTTCGAAAAGTCGTCGTCGGTGAATGGTTAATGCAGTCCCGCAAAGCGACGATGAGGGCCAGAAGAAATCGAGTTTTTCGCGTTTCTGAAGCGGTGTAACCCCATGATAAGTGGTCCGGAATTCTTGAGCAGCGGTTCCGTAAAAGGAGGCCTGCCTATCCGGCGCGTTTCCGCCGGTAAAAATTGCATTAGCCTCGAACGAGAGGCGAAACTTCGTTTTCATACTTGAAAAAGTCTGCGGAAACAGGCTCCGCTTCCGGTCACCCGGCATGCGAAAGTCCGGCGCGCTTAATTAAGATATGTATTTATTTTAATTTTCCTGGGAGAAGCGTGGCGAGAGATGGCGGGTACCGGGTAGGATAACGCGATTTGCTTACAGTACGCGGCCGGTCCGCTCGCATACATTTCGCGCGGAAAGATTTTCAATTGAGGCGTAAGGAAGACCACCGGCCAAGTATAACGTAATAAATACTCCGACGGGGGATGAAGAGGGTGGGTGGTGTGGAGTGCGCGCCGACCTGGGGGTTGAATCTTGCGTTTTGTTTCCGGGGCCACTCGCGCGAGTACTTTTTTCAAAGACTAGCGGGAGAAAAAGTGCTCTTCTCGAAATAAAATTAGGAAACTGTATTCTTCACCCCTTTGAGAAGACGCGTTTATTCTCCTTTTCGTTGTTTTACCGTTCCATCTCGTTAAC